GGGATGAGCATATGAGAATGTGCCTGGATATATACATGGGCTCAGATGAATATCCATTTTAAATGCCTATATTTGGGCATATATGTCATTTTCATGTTTGTTTTTCAGTGGAATGTTCCAAAACACTGACACTGAAGTTTATGTAGGACAACAGGATTATCAGCATTTACAGAACTGCAACACATGAGGCTCTGGACAATCAGGGTATTTGGTATCAGCAGGGAGCCTTGAATGCTGACTGTCTTCAACAGGAGTCAGTGATGTCTCAACCTTGACCTACCAATGGGGGATTTCCTGATGCCCCCAACTTTCCTTGAGCTAGCAGAAACTACATGTTCAGCACCAGATGCAGGTAGAGGCTCCTAGTTCCTACAATGAGAACAGGATGCTTCATTTTCTTCAGATGAGGGCCCGGTGACAAGATGCATTGTCTCAGGGCCACCCAGTCATACGCATACGCAGTCCAGGCCAATGGCAGCAGGGCAACCCCAGTAGGCATTGGACCAACACACTGACTCCATGTGTGCTTTCTGACAAGTCCCTCTCCAGTTGCTGTGGGCTCCTCTGTCATACACAGTGCATTCAGCAAGGGGATCAACCGAAGGCTACAAATTGTATAGAGCCTCCTGCCTGCAGACCCCAACCATCTGCTATTAGGAAAATATAACTGAGGCACAATCAGGTCACACAGTGAATGAATGAAGAAAATATCTCTTTCTGAAATGCTCTAAAGAGGTGGAAGAGGGGTGAGGAAGGAAGTGCTCCTCCAAGTGCCTGGGCAGTTCTTACAAATGCCGGACTTCCCTTCATTTGGTGAGTGACGAAACCAGTAGAAAACACCCATAAGGGGCTGGGATTGTGGCTCAGTGGTAGAGAGCTCACCTAGCATGCACAAGGCACTGGGTTCGATCCTCAGCACCACATAAATGTAAAATAAACATATTGTATCCACCTAAAACTTAGGAATAAGTATATTAAAAAAAATACCCATAAGCTGTAATACTTAGACACCATGCAAAGCAGAGAGGCCCAGATATTCCATAAACTAGTGGGCTGTGAAATCCCATAATTATGCTGTAAATATTTCTTTTCTTTTAATTTTTTTCTAGTTGTAGATGGGCACAATGCCTTTATCATTTTTATTTATTTTTATGTGGTGCTGAGGATCGAACCCAGAGCCTCACACATGCTAAGCAAGCACTCTACCGCTGAGCTACAGCTCTAGGCCTGCTATAAATATTTTTAGGCTGCCCTGGGCTATGATGGACCCTGTCCCCAGCTTTCTATATGTCTACCTAGAGCCCATGTGCAGATGAGCCATCCAGGCAGGCTAAGAGTGTAGACTTGCATTCAGAGACCTACCCAGGGAGTGGAGGGCAGCCATACCAACAGTCTCAACTCATTTGGTGGGCCCTGCTTTCATGCCATACAACACTATTTGAGGCCTCAGATTTGGCTGATGAATATATATCAGATGGGGAGCACTTATCTCCACCTCCCTTGCTCCCTGGATACTCAGGCCTTCCTCTCACAAGTGTCACCTTCTTGGCTGTGTCTTTAAATGCAGGATCCTTTAGGCAGTGGAAGGCTCCTTGCTGATGGTGATTTGACAGCTGGGGAAGCCCCTGGGTTGATCCCTGATGGCATGAGAGG